CGACAGACTTCACGTGCACCAGTCACCATTTACAGCAAAGGGAGTCTTCGGCCGGCTGGAGCCGAACTCCCGTTCTCACAAACGTGAGTCCAAAGCTCTGCCATGCAGGCTATCCCAGTCGTAGTATTTGTCCAAAATTCCAATTTTCACTGAATTGAATTACGCGGAGCATAAAAAATGCTCTTTGCAATAAAGCAATTTTAATTTTTGAAGACACATTGAATAAAAATTAAAAGACCTGTCAGAAAAAGGATCAGCAAAATAAAAATTTTGATTTCTATTTTTTCAAAACATTTTGACCTTTTTTTTTTTTTTTTTTTTTTTTTTGCTGGCTCTATACAATGAAACAAAAGAACTATATACAACATATATAAAACTAATATAGAATTCTATACCAAAGAACTAAACAACGTTAATCAAATATATTTTTATTACAATAACTTTAAAAACAATGTTTATTGTGCAAAACACATTTAATACACAACAATATATATTTAACATTTGTGAATTCAATTATTACTTGTACAAAGCATATTGACTGCACTAATAATCCGATAACAAAATAAGGCACTATTAAACTGATTTTGGCACCACTTGACAATTTAGTTCATTCAATGGCACTTTTTTTAAAATTACAAATTCACAAACTGGCTTTCATTCTTTTGGTAGCTAAAAATACTTAATTTACACATTTATAAATAATTTAGAAGATTTTAAAAAAATGGGAAATATTTATCTTACATAAAATCTCCAAGAGCCAGTCTATTTAAATTGTGCAAAAACAGATGAAATTTTACTTGAAATCAAAAAATTATGTGCAAAATAAAAAAAATACAATAGAAACAAAATACATTAGAAATCAGATGAATTAAAAATGTGACAATTAAGGATAACTGGTCAGAAAATGTCACATTTTAAGACGCTATAACATCTCCTGCTCGGTATTTGGCATTTTTTTAAAAACAAGATTCAGACGAATAAAACATTAATGTAGGACTGTGTAAAAAATAAAATGTGATTTTTATCATCTACCATGACAACATTTTGATCAAGAACCATGTAATGAGAGGTTGTGACAAACCTGATAGAATCTGTCTTATAATATAATTAGAATATAGGTATAAATAGAATATATAGTGAAGAAAGAAAAAAGTTTTCATCCAATTTTTATAGGGTTTTAAAAATATTTATCTTGTTGCATACATAAAACATTACTGTTTGACAAAATGTGTAAATTTTTGACAACTCATAAACAGGGAGGATTGATGAAGTAACAAATAAGAAGCAATGCATAAACTTCAGAAGTGAAATTATTTTCTTTTTGATTTTTTACAGGTTATTTTATCTTATGTCTCAAAATGTTACTCACTTTTTAGGTGTTCAAATAAAACTTTCCAGACATGATTCCTTTATAAATAGAATTAGACAGAATAGAATAAGTTTAGAATTAGAATTTTATTCTTTGAATTAGAATTTCATATTTAAAGTGGTAATAAGATTCATTTCTAGGATTTAGAAATCAAATCTAAAATGGTATTCATATAAATTACATATAAAGGTATGATAATCGCATGCAAATACAAAATAAAAAAGCATATTTTTCTAACTCAATTTTCATTCACAAGAAACTCAATCTTATAGAATCACTCCATTGAAATTAAATAAAATTGATCATAGGCAGCAAATAATACAGAAGTTGCAAAGAAACAAATAACTTTTGAAGATGGAACATGAGATTGCAATGATTTACTTTTTAGTGTCGACTCTATTAAATTTATAAATGAACTAAATATAAAAATTATGGATGAAAAATAATTTATTCCATTGTAACACAATAGGAGGTAAAACAAAAACTTGACTAGTTTTTTTGTAGAATAGAGAAAAAGCAGGATGAACATTCTGGGCAATTCAGAAACGATTTAATATTTACAATCTTATGAAAAATATAAAATGTAGTGATTTTTTTAAATAAGAAAATAAAGTTTTTTTTTTTTTTAAATCTTGAAACATAGCTATTAAAATATAGCAAATGACTTTTTAATTGTTGCACTATAAACCAGGTAAATATAAAAGACAAGAGATTCGTAATATAAATCATTCATAAAATTGAAGATACAAAACATATCACACATAGGTTAAAAATGAGAATAAATTTCTATTCTGACTTTAAATCAGTAGTTTGATTTTTAAACAGCAATTTAAGCAGCTGGACTAGCACTTTAAAATACATCTCTGATAGAAATGAAGCCACACATTTTCTATGTGCAAGTTTAGAGAAATTCATGAGACTGCTCACTTATTGTACAAAAATTTGCATCCTATAACGTTACTATAAATAATCCTTAACTTTGGCTACAGACAGACTATTGTCATTTTGGAATGCAGTTTCCAGGAGACAATAAATTGTACTTAATTCTCTAAATTATTGAAATATTTATAAAATTAAGAAATATGAATAATTTCCTCAGATTATTTCACTTCAATTCTGTCTACAGGGTTGCCAACTTTCTAAGCTTTTGGCAAAAAATTTTTCAACTGGTAGCTAAGCTAATGTTTTAATGTATCGTTTTTTGAAGTTGATTTAAAGTTTTTTTTAAAAAAAAATTTAAAAAAAACATCACTACAATTGATTCAAAAAATGATTCAGTAAATGATTCAAAAGCTTATATGAAACGCTACATCAACTTCCACCTTTTTAACCTTTTCACCACCTTTTGTAAGAATTTTAAAAAGTTGGCAAAATTACCAAAAACTATGGAAGCTGAAAAATTTTTAATTTCCTACTACTCTATAAAATAATTTACAAAAAACATAGCAGTTGGCAGCCAGTATCCATTTTGATTTTCAAATACTCAAATTCTTTCTTTTTTAAACTTAGATCATGGGTGCAAGATTGATAAAAGGCCAAGACTGAAAATTTTTTGACTGAAATACCTAACATATACGATACCCCCTCGACATATGCAAACTATCTAAGAAAGCTTTACCATAATACATCAAGTTTAAATACTGCACAAAAAATATTTATTCATCTGTCTTTTGATAAAATAACAACAGGACAAAAGAAAGTAGACCAATAACGTAGACCTAAAAAAATATTTTTATGGACAGAAAAAAAAAAAAAATTCTGATTTCCGTCTTCGAGTCAGTCTTGTTTCCGTCTTACTTCCGTTCGCGGACATTTTCGAAAGACGGAAATCCGTCCTGGGGACGGAAGACTTGCACCCATGAC